CCGCTAAGACAAATTACTACCAGACGCTGGCGGAAAATACTTTAAGCCCAGGCATGCGAGAAATGCATTTTTGGTCGAAAACTTATGAACGCCATTCAAGGTGGGTCCAAATATATGCATCTGTACGGCTGTGAAGACCAAGTATAAATAGTTACGGGACAGTTTGTAAAATTTGCCCGATTTAGAATATTAAATGAGCTGCTTAATTTCGCAAATCTATATGAAACAAGTCCTGACACTCATACAATTGGGTGAAAATAAGAATAATAACTCAAATAACGAAATGTTATGACTACTGTTTCAGCTAACTTTAATATGACTTGCACAGGAATTCGTATCTTATATCTTTCATCGAACGTTGGGGGAAATATATTTCTCTTGAATTATTTTAGCAGGAAGTGGAACATGTCATATTCAGTGTTCTGCACCTCATTAACCCCCAAAAAAAGCAGACCCATCAGTTTGGAGAGTGTCTAAGTTCTTGACAGCAGTTTCTATTTCCGTTCCAGAGGTAATTGGCTTGTGTCCAACCGCAAGAGATCTTTCAAAAACGATAACTAAGCTTTTGGGCCAGCCAGGAGATATGGGAAGACTAATTATAAATGGTTTCAAACCACCAAACAGACGAACGAAAGTCTCAGCGACCTGCGTGTGCCCATAAATCAAACTTTCACTTTCCTAACATACCATTCAGAGCATTCTGACCGCCTCCTGGCACACTCAATCCAAATGATATGGCCATTTCATCTTGATATTCTCATTGCGGCAGAAAACACTTTGCATGCCGAAAATAGCCGAACAAACAAATGAGCCAAAAAAGGGTCAGCAGGCATTCCCACAGATGCATTTCGGTGGGCTAAATATGCAGTGGAAGTCCGAATTTCCGTGAAAATCATCTGCCTCGCGGCCTCCGGCAAGGGGAGTCGTGTAAACAGTGGCTCAAAATAAACAAACATCCCTGTGGACGGTCGTCCCGAAGTGAAATGCGAAATGCAGTTGCAACAAAGGCGCCAGGAGACGCGCCTGCCAATGGAAATTATTTGGCAGCATTATAGCCGACCAGCCGATGCACTCAGCAAGCTGGGAATCATATATACAATCGTATCACTGGTAAGTGTAAAGATTCCTGCTTCCGATGAGTATTCCTATGCAACACGAAGCTTGGCAACAATGATAAATATACTGCTTAGCTACTATGATAATTAACTTGTTGCAGCAGCAATTGGTCATATTGTATATGACAATGCCTGGTTTAAAGATAAAGAAAGCGACTAAAGCTCTCAAGCACTCGAGGGCTTCCAGAGAATCGATACGCTCGCCGTGGGCAAAGAGCAGAGGAGATGAGCCCGGCATCCAACAGCATCGAACATCCAACTCTCGTATGAGTGACTGACAAAATGCCGTAGCCGTACCCCAATCCTCGTGCCCTCCCCCATCCCCAGCGGTCGACGGTCTCCACCAGCGACTGGTGTCCCGGTTCCCGCCTGCTTGGCAACCCGCCCGACACCGTGCGCGAGTTTGGGGGCATTGCTGACGTCAATCGGCAAGTCGTTGTCGGTCGGCGTGCCACATACAGGCACAGATATAGCCCCACTCTCGGCCGACGAGGCTGCCTGTGGGTCTCCATCGGATTGTAAGTTGCCTATTATTACAAAATAAACGCAAACACTTTTAGACCAGCCGTCTTTTAGTCCAGCGAGCCATGATGAATTGCCCGGGCCAGGCGTCGGCAGTCTGGAGACCACAAACCGGAGACCGGAGACGGGAGACGGGGGACCACAGACCACGGACTAGGGACTTGGGACCATCGACCGGACAATCCCCCCAGTTCAACCAGCCGTCCATATCGAGTGTTTAAAACAATTGATCCCATCTGATTGCCCAATCAACGCAACTGGTTCGCTTAGTGCCCCTCGCTTTGATGTGGGCGGAAAACTTAAGTTGATTTTCAGGACCTACGGCAACTCGGAAAAGTCGGAATGGCTTTTATGGCTTTTACGTGCCGCGTCTTTAGGGTTGGGGGACCTACGACAATCTGCTGCCGCGTCTCCGCGTCTTTCTCATGGAAAATTCAATCCAATTCTTTATATATCTGCGCACTTTTTTGTGTACTTGCACCTGTTTACAACAGCACTTGAAATTGGGTCAAGATAGTTCTATTACAATTTGGATTTTTTGTAGGTGCGTTGAGGTAGTTTTTCGGTTTTTCTCGCATTCATTTAGCCTGCTGCCCATTTCCGCTGAAGGTGGAAATCATTAATACAGGTGAAAAGGATTTATAATTTATAAATGAGCTAAAGGGAAGCCGTAAATCGCCAACATTTTGACTACTTAATGAATAATCCTATTACTTTGTATGAGCTGTTTTCGAAAAATCCTAATATTTATTTTAAGGCTTGTTCAACACTTGCTCACTCCCTGTCGAACAAGTTTTCGCAAGCAGAATATAATATAATATACAATTCAATAAAAATTAACGACTTGAAAGAAAATTTCCGCTGCGCCCACAGGCCAGACCAAAGGCAACAAAAACCAAAATAAACAAAAAGAAATAAAATTAAATACATATAGGTGTTTAATGTATACAGCGCAACAACAGAGCCCGAAATTAAATAAATAATATTAAGAGATCTTTTTTATGTCTGGATCCTACGTCTTAGGCATCGAATGAGTTTTGATACGAGAGCACCCGAATGATGCGAATTTTGTATATTTTCTTTTTTTATTTATAAAACACCTTTAAAACCGATCAATCCGCTTTCCCTATCTCTTGGCCACGGAGCATATTTATAGAAAAGTAGGCGTGTGCGCGCCCCTCCCCAGTCCACGAAATATTGATATATGGCAGCACTCTAGTGGACCACCAACCCGAGGCAGCTGCTCTCGGAGATTTGCGCACATGACCATCACGAGCGGCAGGTGGCAGGTGGCAAGTGGCAAGTGACGATGCAGAGGTGCTGGCCAGGACGAGAGGATCCAGGAGCAGACAGAGGGCTCCTTCAGAAACACCTTCGTGCCGAGTGGCGCTTGAGTGGTGAGTGGTCCGCATGGCAGGGCCGAGTTGGTATGAGTTGGTTGGCCCAAGAAGTGAGGTGGACTCTTCTGGGCAGTGCACAGTGAGTGCGGCAAGTCGCCGCCCACGGCACTGTTTCCATAATTTATTTTAATAGTTCCGCTTTTACGATTTATTTAATTTGCTCGCCTTTATTTCACATTATATCCGAGAGTAAAATGCTTATAAATAGCCTCCTGTGGAGCGAACAAATTTGTAATTACGCGCAAACGAAAATGAATGGAAATCAACAGCCTGAAAAAACTGGGCACATCGTGTAAAAAATTCATGTAGCTGACAGATCTCAAGGTAAGGTCAAGGCAAGTGCCTACGTAAAATCATTTATCAAAGCTCTAGTAGATCGAAGAAATCTTGCAAGAATGTTCCGAAATGAATAATGTGCAATGGAGCAGACCCCATAAATAATATCTGAATACTTATAAATAGTTGCCCCTGCCGAAGGTAAGGTGTACATATATGTATGTATATACTTAGATTACATAAATTAAGTTGGCCATTTAATGGGGGTCAGATCGCCGCGAGTGAGAAGGAGCCTATTGTGAAAATAATAAGACTGGCAAGAGGCTGCTGGCCAAACAATTGCTGTTTAATATCTCTCATGTGGTCTTGGGTTGTAATATGTGTTCGCGGAACACTGAAAACGCTCGTAAATAATTGTAAGTAATGCTAATAATAATATTTGCATTGCAAACTGAAAGAGCGAAATTCTGTCGGACGCAGCACCTGACGTCAACTTTAAGTTGCGATGAGTGAAATAATTAGTAGAGTTTTTTCCGCGTTGAGGAAGCGGATATTAGCAAAGGAAATCCACTGAATTGGTCTGCATAATTGTTCAGTGATTAATTGCCTGCCATTCGATTTGTTTATCCTTAAGGTAGAGCAATAAATTGCAGAGCAATAGGTTGCAAAAGATTAGGTGGCTTTAAACATCTTCTAGTGCATTTCATATTTGAAACACTAACAAGTGAATTTTATATCTCAATATGCAATCATCCCAATAAGTGGCCACATTATGATTGCAATTTTCCTGGGTAAACAGACAAATTGTCATTTTATGCACTCAAAAGTAGCATTTACTTAACACGAATAAACAGAGCAGTAAAATAAAAGTGGATGAACATTTTCTAGACGGGCGAGACAATAACAAAAACATTTCAAGAGAAAGCTCAATGGCGAAAATATCATCACGTGCATCTAGTATAAACAAAAAACAGCGTCTAGACTACGAGTAAACTGGTTAAAACTGACTTCTTTTGAAGTGGTTTTTGAACCATTGACCAGTGGATTGCTTATAAAATAATAAAATGTTCCCCTATTGTCAAATATGTGCAAAGACACAACGAGTTATAATATTCCTAGGAAAGGGACATTAATTAGAGAAATAATATGGATGTTCAATCGAAATATTCGTCAACGTTTTCGATTTTCGATTTTCGAAGACACACACATATGAAGCCCAATCTGCGTAAAATATTTTCCATTTATATAATAGACATTTATTGGCCCGACCAAATAGACGATTCATGTGATGTTTGAGCTGCAAAAGCGTAGCGAAAATTAATAATTTATTAAATACTACACACGTATACCCGTACGTATATTCACACGAATTAAAATATAAATGCTTTCTTCAGCGTCAGGAAAACAGAAAATGAGGAGAAAAGCATTCACCGTTTCCCCCACGCATTTAACTTCGCTTTCTCTTTTTTGAAAAAGCAATCGCACAATATTTTTGGACTCTGCCATTGTTTATACATTGTTTGTACATTGTAGCCCGACCTATACATGAACTAAGAATTATTTCATTTACTTTAGGTAGTAATTCAAATTCGGGGTGTCAAAGCGGAAGTTTGACACTTCAAAGAACCTTTGAGTTCTAGTTCAGTCTTTTTTTTATATAATTAGCATATTATATTTTCTAAAAAGTGAACTAATGTTACTGTCCTGGCAAAGTCTGTTGCGCTGGAAGCCACTGAAGGTGGAGGGACTGCGTCGAGCAGCCGACGGAATAAAGCCCCTGGAGACCATTGACTTGACCGCAATCGATGAGGAACAGCCAGTCATTAGACCCCTACCCGATGGGAACAATGGCCTCTACTTGTGCCCCATTTGCATGAGTGCTCTGGAGCAGCCGGTGACCACCATGTGCGGCCACGTCTTCTGCAAGAAATGCCTGACCACCGCCAAGATTCTATTCCATTTGTGCCCCATATGCAAGAAGTCCGTGAAGAAGTACATTCGCATATACACCTAATACTGAGGTGCCCTTGCGTTCAAATTCGTTATCGTTTATAAGTGTTATCAATGTGTATCTATAATGTTTGTGTTTCTAATATTGATACTAGAGGATCAGCCGCAGCAGACCCCTTATGTACCATCAAATCTTAAATGTGGTTATTATGAGTTTTTACAATTTTTGAGCACATATTTTTATTGCGTGTCAATGGGAAAAAGCGCGTCACAAACGCACGGAGCACAGACTCAGTGGGCCGAAAAGACCTGTGCAGTCCAACACAGATACAGATGGATGTATCTTCTGCGGGGAGCAGATATATACTTCATCTCTCGGTTAGCCATAATATTTCTAGCGCCGACAGCCGACAGCCGACGGCACGACCTTGTCCCACGGCTCAACGCGTAGAAAGCGAAAGAAGCGGACGGCAGAAGATGAAATGGGTATGATATAAACCACACCAGAGCACCGGGGACATGCCTCTTGGATGCATTATGAAGAGCATATTTTATTAAGAAATTATTTTCAAAATGCTAAAGTAATTAGAGTATAGTGGATAGTATAAAGTATAGTCTGCTTATAGACATTTTATTACTGCATGAATTTCGAAATTTGATTGGCTTTGTAAGTTTCATTAGCCCACTTAGTGCAAGTACAAAAACAGAACGTTTACCCACAGAACGAATACCGTATTTTCCCTTTTTCCAATTATCTCGAAAGGTTCATTGCACCTTCGCCTCTAATTGAACACAATCAACGAGATTTTGCAACCTCTCGCGAGAATTAATTGCACATTAACAATTTGGTGTTGAGAAAACACATCTTGAGGGCGCACAAGAAGCACTTGTCTTGCCCAAAATAGCCTAAACACATTACACCGAAGAAGACATCGCGCATACGCCGCGTGTGCCGCTGGGGCAATTAAAAATTCCGAAATCGTAAACAATGCTCAGTCGTGATGTGCGAAATGTGCATATTTTTGGATCATTTTTTAATATTTATTCTCACAACTCAGTCTGAAATGAAAAATGTAATGTTTCAAGACTATTGGACTCTTGCGAAAGCCAGATTAGGAGCCACAATGAACGATCATTGTGGCTATAACATTTCACTTTAAGGTATTTTTAAACATTTACCTTTCGCCTTACCATTTACATTTGACAGCCGTCAATGTTTCTGACACATTTTTCCAATTAGGGCGCATTGAATATGCGCACACTTTCCGCACCCTGCACTCACATGTTGCTTTTGTTTATTTGAGTGATATTGAAAAATCGTTTGGATTGCTCATGTTTGCCCGAGTTTGAATTTCACTCTCATCGATACAGATGTATTAAATGTTCTGTCTGTGGCCAAAATTCCTGAAGGCGGCAATTGGCTTCGCACTTCATTAATGATGCCCAACAAAACATGAGTACGGAAAAATTACGCATTTCAAAAGAAATATTGCCAACGGATTTTCCTGTGTGTACATTGTGCACAAAGATAGGTTGGTGGTTGGCTCTCGGGAAAATCAGCAGCATTGCAGTATTTGGCTAATTTGATTTCCGTTCCAATGCATTCGAATGCCGAAAGTCCGAAATCGAATCAATCAAAGCACTTCTTGCCGCCTGACTGATTTCAATCGTATAAATATTATATTTTGTATATTTATATCTGACCACCACGTGCTATTCATCGATTGAGAAGCAGATTTATTTTTTACGTACATGTTTTTGGCAGACAAATCTTTTTTAAATTGCTCTTAGTGAAATATAAATCTGATCCTAATTAAAAGTGATTTTTTCCTATCTGACCGATGCCAAACAAATTAGTTCAGCCTTAGAGATCTAATAGGCCACTGACGAAAGGGATGAGCACCCAAATTGATGGCTATCATCTAGTCTGCCTTGAAGGCAGCTCCATTCTATATCCACACGATTTTCTCAGACAGTCAGGCAGTTAACACACACACCACACACCCTACACGTAGTACATAAACAAAATGGAACACAGAGTTGAGTTGTTGTTCGAACCCAAAGTTGCATGCAAGTTGGATCGCAGATCGGAAAACAGAGCATCCAAAATGGAGGAAGAGGAGCCGCATCTAACGAAGCAGCTCAAGAAGCACTACGGGATTGAGGCAGAAGTTCTGGGGCTCCTTGTGCACCTGGAGATGCGTTATAAGGAATACTACAATCTATATCGTTGCGAAATGAAGGCCCAGAAGATACTGGTGGAACGGGTATGGCTGCTAACCCAACGATACCTGATCCTGATCAGTTCGGAGCAGAGCTGTCGGTACCCCGAGGTATACACCTTGTCCACCGAGGAGGCCATAATCAACGAGTACGAGGAGAAGTTGGAGGTGCTGCGAGCTTCGAAGTAAGTTGCATAGAACTTCCTTGCCGAAATTATTTACATTAAATGTTATACTCGTACACCCCCAGCAACAAAATGAAGAACTCCCTGATGGAAATCAATCAGCGGTGCAAGGAGTTCTATGCCGCCTACGAACGTCTGGACAAGACCCACGAGACGCCCTTCATCATGGGCGATCGCCATCATAGAAGCATCAGGTACCACAAGATCATGGCCGTCGACATATTCAACTACTTGTACGCAACAGTGCTGAAGCTCAAGTGCTTCATGCATCAGCTGGATCCCGTGAATCTGGAGAGTGTGGAGGAGTACCGAGACCTGCTCCAAAACGAATCCCTAATGGAGGAGTTCGAGGAGTATCTGAAAGACCACTTTGTGTACTGCAAGTGCATATACCCGATCCAAACCTGCCCCATCTTGAAGCTGAAGTGTTCCCACCAAAACATAGCAAATTTAAAGTATGTCAGTCGCATTTAATCAAGCCAAAACGAGCAATAAATAGAAGCCCTAAATGAAATTCGATTTATTGGGTAGTGATGGCTGCCTATACAACTAATCAATATTAATGAACATCCCATTAACATTTGTGGGGCTCTGTTCCCAATAAAGAGAAGCCCCAAACTAAGCTCATATTTCGGACAGAAGGAGGGTGCAGCTCCTCCAAATGGTGCTCGAGTGCCTGCAAATTGAATCCGGACAGGACAAGCAGTGGAACCGACCACCCGGAAAATCTTCGGGGTGGCAACCGCTGCAGGCGATGCCAAGGGGGCGATGGGCTTGGTTAGCTTGGATTGGGAGCTGGACACTTACTTGTCGTTTTGCATCCTCTGTGCTTTCTTTAAAAGTCAAGTACTTCAGATGTCACGCTTAATAAAAAGTCAACGGAGTGCAGGAGTGCGACTAAATATTAGATGAAATCTGCTTGAAAATACTGTGTTTCAAATCCATAATATTTTGATATTTTATATTTGTCTAGAAGTAAAACCGAAATCCTCGAAGAAGACTCGATTTACATTATTTTCGATAATACGCTCTTTGATAGCCATTTAAATCATAAAATCCCTTACACAAAAGAAAAGCTCAAGTACTTTTATATCCCTCAATATCCACTCAAAATGCAGCCCTGTCTACTAATGTAAAAAAAAGAACCTGATGGAGACAGAGAAGATTTGAGCTAATCTGCAAAAAAGTGAAAGTGAAGTCAGGGCCCACAGACATTGCGAAAGTGACCTTTATTTTGTCGCTACACTGTCATGGGCGTAATGTGTTGCAGGGTCACTTCTGTTATCAATGGTTTTATTCACCCCTGAACTTTCAGCAGCGCCAGCAGGAAAACTGGCTCGAGGATGTTTCACGAGCTGAGCTGAAGCGTGTTAAATGCGATTCGGTCAGACACAAGTCACATCCCGAGGATGGCATTCAAAAGGACCGCAGGTGGCACTTGAGCATGCAACTGTCGTGTGGGGCTCATCACAATGAACCCATTGAGGCAGAAGGACCCAACTCTGCCCACCGAGATGGCAATCAGAGCGCATTTGTGGGCGCCCCCTAAAGGATGGTGGTTTTTGAATTGTAGGGCCTTCGCGCCCAAGGATACCAAGGATACGAAAGCCACCTGGCTAATGACCGGCTGCCACAGCCGCATATGTATGCTCATTTCAACGTGGGGGAAGAAAATCAGAGGCTCGTGCGTCATTCGATTATGGTTTTAGGGTCTATCCCCAGCCGCCTAGTTTATTTTACACATTTTTGATAAACAAAATTCATGACATTTTAGCGGGCAGACCATGTTTATGATAATGACGTCGTTGTCATTTGTCGCTTGCTGTTCTTTTCTTTTCCCTCTTTATATACACATATCAATTTTTCTTTTTGGGCTGGTGTTGAAAGCAGGTTCGTATTCCATGTGGGCTGTGTGGGTTTATTTTTAGCCAGGATAATTGAAAAGTAAGCAGAAAATGGAAATGAACGAGGCGTTGGCAAGGGGATGGACTTCCACATCCTATTTGATTGAAATGAATCTCGTCAGTGTTGCGTGAGCGCTCTGAAAAGGATGATTTACATAAACACAGTGTTGGGTCACCACTGAGCTCGACTCGTGTGCAGTTGTCCTGGGCAAATAAAGGGTAATCGGAATGGACGACAGCAACTGTTGGATAACCCCTGGCAATTACCGCACTCAAATGAAGAACTATTCCGAGAAACAAATGTCTTTTTCGGGAGCGGTAGGAAAATGAGAGGTTCCAGGAAAAGTACGATGTCAACCAGATAGAGAGGAAAGGTCTTTTAATGATAGTCTGGGATCAGCAAACCATTTATAATTAATTTAAGCAGAGCAATTAGACCAAATGAACTCATGGCTGGAATACATTTGAATTGGAATCAGGAGCAAACATGACATATATTAATTATAGCTCGGCAAATATACATGTATGGTTAAATATATTCAAATTTCATGATGATAACTACTGAGTTGGGTTGTAGAGTAAGTAGATTAATTATAGTTTAGAAACCCGAAAACAACTTCAAACTTATGGAGAAGCAATAGGGTGAGAGATGGATTTACTCACCGATAGTGCCCATTTCTGACGATTGGTTTTCCCTGATCAGTAATCCCAAATCCTTAATCCTCTCTTGCACTTTTTGAGCACGACTATTGAAAGCCGTTAGTAACCGATTTTAGAAAGTGTCTTCTTGGCCAAACAAAACGACAAAAAAGCTGCGATCTCACTTGGAAAGTCACATTGCAATAGGCGA